CTTCTCCAGCACCACATCTCAAATGAATTGATTTTTTCCCTATATTCTTTCTTAACTATCCAGGTTTCACATCCATACATGGTAATAGGGAATACGATGGCTTGTATGATTCTGACTTTTGTGCTGAGTTGTATGTCCTTGCATTTGAGGATCTTTTCTAGTTCTTTCATAGCCACCCATCATATTCTTAATCTTCTCCTGATTTCCTGGCTGCAGTCCCCATTCCGATCAACATTTGATCCCAGATTTCAGAACTCTTTTACTATTTCTATTTCCTCACTGTCTAGTCTGAATGCGTGTAAGTTCTCTGTGGTCATTATTTTTGTTTTCTTTATGTTCAACAGTAAGTTCCAGGTCTGTGAGGTTTTCTGCTAGTATTATGGGGTCATCAGCATATCTCAGATTGTTGATATTTCTTCTTCCTATTTTCACTCCTCCCTCTTCTATGTCTAAGCCTGCTTTCCTTACAATATGTTCTGCATATGTTGAATAGGTAGGGTGATAGGATAGAGCCTTGTCTGACTCCTTTGCCAATTGCGAACCATTCTGTTTCTCCATGTTCTGTTCTGACAGTAGCCTCTTGTCCTAAGTACAGATTCCTCATTAGGACTATCAGATGTGTTGGCACTCCCATGTCTTCAAGGGCATTCCATAGCCTTTCATGACCTATGCAGTCAAAGGCTTTGCTATAGATTATAAAACACATGGTGATTTTCTTTTAGAACTCCCTGCTATGCTCCATTAGCCATCGTATGTTTGCAATGTGATCCCTAGTGCCTCTTCCTTTCCTGAACCCTGCTTGGACCTCTGGGATTTCTCTCTCCATGTATAGTTGGAGTCTATGTTGCAGTATTTTGAGCATAATTTTGCTTGCATGAGAGATTAGTGTTATGGTCCTATAGTTGGTGCAGTCTCTTGTGTCTCCTTTTTTGTGGATGGAGATGTATATTGATCGCTTCCAACTTGTTGGCCATCATTTTGTTTTCCATATCTGTTGACATATGTTGCTTAGTACTAGAGTTGACTCTATCAGTGTGGATTGCAACAGTTCTATTGGTATA